TGCCTTAGACCACCTTTAACATCGCTCCCAGTATCACTGGAATGTGATGAGCTTGTCTTCATATTCCTCTCGGCTATAAATCTGGACCCCTGACATGAAGCCCTACCATCGAGCAGAACACCACTCCACTACCTGTGTAACTTTGGGTAGGCCCCTTAACCTCTTGGTTTTCTAAGTCCTCGGTGGTAAAAAAACGTGAGGGTTCTATGAATTTACATTTGGGGCAGGACAAGGTCGAGAAGAGCTTGTCTTTGCTTTTATTCTTCCCGACTGGAATGTCTTCTCTCCTCTCCACGAGTCCAAATCTCACATGTCCTTCAAGCCCACCAGCCAGGAACCTTCTCTGATTTCCAGTCCACACAAATCTCTGCCTCTCCAACTGTTGAATACTTATGGTCAGTGCCATACAACTTAGCTGTCTCTAAGTTAATCTTGCCTCTCAAGCCCATCTCAGAATGTGGGTTTCTCTTGCCCTCCTGTGGTCCCTGGGGCTGTGCCCGCCCACAGGTATGCTCCACAGGGAGTGACTACTTGACTAGGGCGTGGGTGGGGAGGACCAGGTGTGAGGGCCCAGGCAGGATGCCTCTCTGTCTCCACCCTGTTCTCCACAAAACCCCAGGAGCCTGAAGCCTGCCCCTCAAGTCACAGGTTCTTTATGTGACCTCACTGGTTAGTGATGATGTCACAGACCTCAGTTTCCACGGCAGGGTAACCATGCAAATGTGGTGCTCTTGGGGAAACTTCCCTACCAGTTCTCTACCAGATACCAATCTGTTAAGTTGCCTGAGAGAGAATGTCTGACCGGATCGTCTATATTAACTCTAACTTGTCCTCTGTCCCCTGGGAGGGCCACACAGCAGGTAGGTCTAGGCCGGGCATCCGTATAAGAGGCATTGGTATACCCACAACCTCACCTGGCTGCCACATGTTCCTTTTGGGCTGGCCCACCACATCTCAGAACTTCTCCAGCTATAAATAATATCAGTGGCCTAGGGACCCACAGTGTTCCTGCTCACTGATGAGGACAAGTGAAATGTCATCCCTGGGCAAGTGTTCAGAAAGGTTTATAATTGTAGCCTTCCCCTTTGGGCTACAAGATGCTTCCATTCAGACCCTTTCCTGATTGGCCTCTTAGCAAAAGTGCATTTTTGTTGGCAAGTGATGAATGGAGCAGTTTGAGGAAGAGCTGTTGAGGGCCACTCTTGAACCTCACCTCCAACCCAGGCACCTTCACTGTGCTGTCACGTAGACATCCACAGGGGTCTCCTCAGACACGTCCCAGACTGAGCTGCTGAGTACTGGAGAAAGCGTGGTATCATATCGATGGGAAGAACAGAAGAGGCAAGGGGAGTCATGAAGTGGTACTGAGCCTGGACGGCTGGGAAATGGTGTGCCAGGAGGTTGGGTTGATGTGAGCCTAGACTTGGTACCCAGATTCTGGCTCTGAACCTCCTGGTCACTCTGCCTCAGTATTTGGCCTTTTTTCTAATCTAGATAAAAGCATCAGAGGGCTAGAGTTCAGTGTGGTTGAAACAGGTGGAATGAATGGAGCCCACAAGGAGTTGACAAGGTGAAACGGGTTCTTAACCAATTTATATTCTGTTATTTTTCCAAAACTTGAAAGGCATTTCCATTAAAGCCTCAGAAGTGACAGACCTTAAGATGTGTTTTCTCTGTCGTGGAAGGGAGAGATGTAGGGGTTCCTAATTGCAATTATTTTCGGGTTCTACCATTTTCTCTGGGAATGGGAAACAGATTTCCTGATCTCCTGCTGCTGCCATAGGCTCCATGGAATTGCTTTTGCAGCCAATATCCCTTCTCTGGGGGACTCATAGAGGTGATGGGCCAAGGCTGTGTTTTGGATGCCAAGCAGATTAAAGGGCTTCAAGCAGACACTGAGAGAGACATGAGAGAGGGGAGGTCCTGGCAGGACCTGTGTACAGCAGAAGTGACTGATCAGTTCCGATTTTCTTTCTAGCAGCAGTGGCTCCCACCCCTCCTCCCACACCTTGTCTCTACCATGTCGTCT